GTGATAGGTTTGTGATGTTCAGTTTAATAGATATTTGGTGTGTATGTGTTTACGTATATGTGTGCTGGATAAAAACACTTTCATTAAAAGGGGGTAAGCTCTAACTAAACATTAAAGGTTATAATTGTTTATTGAAACGATTGAAAATATTTCCTAATATGGCGAAAAAGAAGCTATAATTGTTAAGATTTATTTTTCAGTTTACTCCACTGTAAAAAGTATTTAAAATATTGCGCGTTTCTCTAGAATTAGTAGAGCAATCTACACTAATATGAATAAAATGAATTTTCGTATTTTTTTCTGTAGCAACTTAAAATAATTGAATTTAAAGATAAACATGCAGAATGTGGGTATGGTGTAGGAGGTGGCAACGTTGCATTCTCTCCGACACTCTCTATGCCCGGTAAACGAATTTCCCAGGGGAGTGAACAGTGGCACTCAAAAGTTTTTCAATATTTTCCGGAAAATGTCAAGAAAAATATAAAATTTTCAACATTTTTTTTCGCAAAAAAACCTCATAGGCGTGTTTCTGGGGTTGAACTATACTACCAGTTAAAATATCTGCACTCATTTCTGGGACACCCTGTATATATATATATATATATATATATATATATATATATATATATATATATATATATATATATATATATATATATATATATATATATATATATATATATATATATATATATATATATATATATATATATATATATACAGGGTGTCCCAGGAAATGAGTAAATGATATTTTAACTAAAATAATATTTTATATATATATATATATATATATATATATATATATATATATATATATATATATATATATATATATATATATATACAGGATTTTAGATTAGACATTGGTTGTCCATTAATCAAGCATGCAGCTACTGCTGCTTTCCGTTCGCCTTCGCCAAACTTCTCTATCAAATGCATCCAGCTCTTCCAGCTCTCTGGATGCCATCGCTTGCCTAATTGTGTTGTTCCACGACCTTCTTGGTCTACCTCGCTTTCTTCTTTGTGGAGGACTCCACTGAAACAGACGTTTCGGCCATCGACCTTCCGGCATTCTTAATAGATGGCCAAACCACTTGAGACCCTGTCTATAATTGTCTCTGGAGCATTCATTCGGTGTCTAATCTCTATGTTGGTAATTCGGTCCATTTTCGATACACCTGCGCTCCTTCTGAGATAGTCCATTTCGACTGCTGTAAGTCTCCGTTTCATTTCGGCTGTTAGAGCCCATACTTCGCAACCATAGCACACCACAGATTCCACCAAGATTTGTCCCAGCCGTTTTTGGTTCTAGAGAGAGATGCTGATCCCACCACAATGAATTCAAGCATCCCACTACTCTCTTGCCAGCTTGAATGCGGAGTTTAATTTCGTCCTCTCCAATGCCCTGTTTAGTCACGATTGACCCTAAATATTTATTAAATTTGAAGTTGTTGACTTGTGTGACCTGAGTATCATCGGTAATCAGAACTTCAAAGGCCGCTTCACTATTGACTACTAGATATTCTGTTTTTTAAGACTTACTTGTAGACCCCACTTCTCATATTGTACATAGAGTCTTCTCATCATATATTCAAGGTCAAACGCATCCTGCTCAAGCACTATCTGGTCGTCAGCAAATTTTAAAGTGAACAATTTTTGTGCGCCTATAGGAATACCCATAGGTTCACATTGTCTTTTCCATTCTTCTAGCGCGACTTCTACATAGGCGTTGAAAAGCAAGGGGAGAGACTGCAGCCCTGTCTGAGACCCTTTGTGGTTGGTATAGGTTCAGACAGTCGATTTCCTACTTTTATGAGCGATACATTATTATTATTGTACAGTTGTTTAATTATTTCCAGTCTAGCCGTTCGAGGCCTTCCACAATTTTTTGACGGGGTATTGTATCGTCGTAGGCTTTCAAGATCTACAAAAGCCAAGTGAACTTCCTGTTCTACGGATATTTGTTTTTCAGAAGCTGCTGAAGTATGAAAAGGTTGTCAACACAAGATCTGCCCGGTCTAAATCCACTTTGGTCCTCTCCATTTTATGGCCAATATTTGCTCTAAGTTTGGATTGTAGAATTTTACTAAACAACCTGCCCATCGTACAATTCACATAGTCCTCTGTAGCATCCAGGAGGGTCTCTCCGATTTCCCTTTTTGAATATGGATACTAAATGAGAGGTTTTCCATTCTTGAGGGTATTCTATTGATTGCTAGGCACTTCTTCATAAGGGCTGCAAACGTTCGATCAGAGCGTAGCCCCCTGCATTTTAGTAGCTCAGCTGGGATATTACCTGGACCTGGAGATCTTTTATTTTTCATCTTATTAAGTTCTTTTTTTACTTGTGGTGAATCAACATGCATGAGTATACTAAAAGAATGAAAAATGGACTGGAGAGACTCCTTAGCTGCACACACACTGGAAAAGTCAATATTCAGATCGCCACACAAAATTAATTTACTTTTTATAGGTAGGGATTCAAGCAAGCTTAGCAATTTTGACTGAAAATATGTACGTCAGCGTCAGGTGTTCTGTAAATACAAATAATATAGAGGTCAAAAGCATTATGATAAACGACGGAAAATTCAAAAAATTTTCGGATATCAGAGTATCGAACTTAGTTACTGCCGAAAAGTCGTTGTTAGTAGACATTATCATAGTACCTCCATGAGATGAGTTACTTCTATTGAATCTAGTTAATGTAGTGTATTTTTTGACAAATACAGGCTCATCCATATTTAACCAATGTTCAGTTATGGCAACAATTTCTGGAAAATTGAGCTCTTCTAATAAAAGATATAATTCATCCGTTTTATGTCTTAAGGACTGAATATTAATTAAAAAAACACTAAGCTTGCTATCGAATTTTTACTTGTGCCACTGATATATTTAGTTTTGTTTCTAGATGTTCTTCTATATTGGCTGAGTCTTCTGCTATGTCCTCTGGCCTACTTTCAATTAATAGTGCCTTGTAGTGGGATGTCCAGGTTTTTAGGTCAATCCATGTGTTGCTGTTTCACTTACCTTTGTATCTGATTTTAGTTCTCTAATAGTTCTCCAGACTTCTGTGCTCTGGGCACCTCCTATCATGCTCTCAATCTCCACGCATTTGTTTTCCCAAGTTCTGTTTTTTTTTTGTTTTATTGCTTGTCTGACTTCGTTGTTTCCTAAGTTTGTATTGATACCTGTTCTCCGTTGTCCTGTTTGTAAGCCAGTTGTTATAAGCCTTATGTTTTTCTGTTATTAAGTATTTAATTTCGTCAGTGAGCCACGACGGTTTCCTTTTTACGTGTTTTTCAGCTTCGTATCCCAAAGCTTCATGTGCCGCTTGATATAATGCTTTTTGATGTTTTCATGTTCCGTATCATTATAATAGTTACCTGTTGATGATAATAGATGATAATAGTTACCTGTTGAAAAATAAAGGAGTTATGCAAAATTCATTCTTATATTCAGTACAAAGATGGACTTATTCAAATTTCACATAATAAAACAACGCTAGTATTTACCTACCTAAAGGAGGGTCCACATTTAGTAACATGTTATATAACATTGCTATATAACAAGCTACATGTAACATGTTAAAAAACCTGGCGACGTCCACATTATAGTTTTAGTAATCATGAATTGTTTGGCGAGAAAGATGCTCTGCTCGCAGCAGCGGCGTGCGTAATTATTTTTGAAGAAAGTGAAGAAAATCGAGAAAAAAAAGGCGGTTTGGGTCCGCCATAGCCTACAAGCAAGGTCTATATATAGTGGAACTCATCTATTAGAAGATCTAAAAAGGATGATTGCGCCCCTCTGAATTGGGGATTAGAATACAAGGGGAGTTTCAAAAATTTTGTAGGAAGAGTAGTTCTGACTTTGAGCACCGGATAAATCTAATTGGTCCAAAGATTCAAAATCTGACACGATTTAGGGATGCAGTACCTGTTGTAGAACGGCTAGCAATAACGTTACGGTTTTTGGCGACTGGAGACTCCTATCAAAGTCTAATGTACTTATTTAAAGTTTCTAAACAACTTATATCACTTATTGTGCCTGAAGTATGTGATGCACTAATAGAATGTTTACAAGAGAATGTTAAGGTATGTAAATCATAAATTTCAGATTAAATTAGTAATTATAAAATAGTTAGTTAATATCGACCGTTACTTTTTCATTTCTGAAGCGAAACTTCTTAGGCGGCTATTCGATAATTGGACGATAATTGATAATTAAATTTGATGGAGCGTCACGTTACGCATAACAGAGGGAGAAAGAGCTATAGGTATATCTATACAGAGTTTTATTTCTTTTCAGTTACCTACAACGGCAGAAGAGTGGCAGGGTATTGCTACAGATTTTTATCGACAATGGAATTTTCCAAACTGCCTCAGAGTTTCCATGGATGGAAAACACGTTATGTTACAAGCCCCTTTGGAAGTGGAACGGAATACTTTAATTATAAGGGCTTTTCAGCATTGTTCTTTTCGGAGTAGTTGATGCAAATTATTGTTTTATTTTTGTGAATGCTGGATGTCAAGGCCGAATTTCCGATGGCGATGTATTTGCAAATACTACTTTAAAATCATTAATTGCAAAAAATGACTTGAATTTGCCTGAAGCCAGTCCATTGCCTGGAAGATCAAATCCTGTACCTTACGCTTTCATAGGCGATGACGCTTTCACACTACAGCCACATCTTCTAAAACCATATGCAGGTCTGCACGATAGAGGTTCAGGTGAAAGAATTTTCAACTATCGCATCAGTCGTGCTCGTAGGATAGTGGAAAATGCATTTGGTATTATATCCTCCGTATTTAGGGTATTAAAAACAGGGCATTGGAGAGGACGAAATTAAACTCCGCATTCAAGCTGGCAAGAGAGTAGTGGGATGCTTGAATTCATTGTGGTGGGATCAGCATCTCTCTCTTAGAACCAAAAAACGGCTGGGACAAATCTTGGTGGAATCTGTGGTGTGCTATGGTTGCGAAGTATGGGCTCTAACAGCCGAAATGAAACAGAGACTTACAGCAGTCGAAATGGACTATCTCAGAAGGAGCGCAGGTGTATCGAAAATGGACCGAATTACCAACATAGAGATTAGACACCGAATGAATGCTCCAAGAGACAATTATAGACAGGGTCTCAAGTGGTTTGGCCATCTATTAAGAATGCCGGAAGGTCGATGGCCAGAAACGTCTGTTTCAGTGGAGTCCTCCACAAAGAAAGAAAGCAAGGTAGACCAAGAAGGTCGTGGAACAAACACAATTAGGCAAGCGATGGCATCCAGAGAGCTGAAAGAGCTGGATGCATTTGATAGAGAGGTTTGGCGAGGCGAACGGGAAAGCAGCAGTAGCTGCATGCTTGATTAATGGACAACCAATGTCTAATCAAAATCCCGTATATATATATATATATATATATATATATATATATATGAAGAACTAAGAATATATATATATATATATATATATATATATATATATATATATATATATATATATATATATATATATATATATATATATATAACTATTATAAAAAAATCAATACTTAATAGCAGTTCCCTAATGTTTTTTTATCCAAATTCCACTTTCACTCCAATAACATTATTTTTAAAGAAATAAAATAGTTTTTTGCTGTCCTGTAAAATTTAGGTTTCGGAACTTGACAATTTTCACATTAGGCTGACGATATACCACTCTTTGATGTAAGTCTTGGGGGGTATTGATTTCATTTTTATAAATTATGTTATGGAGCGCCCCCCAAAAGAAAAAATCCATTGGCGACAGGTCCGGGGACCTCGCTGGCCATTCTACGCCATTTCCATTCCATCTTCCATTGAACTGCTGTTTTAAATAAGTTCTTACAACTCCGGAGTTGTGGGCTGGTGCCCCTTCCTGTTAAAACCAAAGATGAGGTAGTCTAGCGAGAGGAATATCATCTAGATACTCGTGAAATATCGTATTCAAGAATTTCAAATATCTTTCGCCGTTTAAATTTTCGTTAAAAATGAATAGTCCATAAATGCCATTGTTGTATATCCCCGCCCAGACTTTAATACTGAAACGAACTTGTTTTCTAACTTCCTGATTACGCATTAGATTTTAAAGGCTCCAAATATGTTCAATTTTTCAGTTAAATACACCACAATTCGTAAATTTACATTTGTCTCACCATAGTACATGTCTTAAAAACATATTGATTTTCATGGATGGGCCCCGTAACTACATATAAAATTGTAATCGTCTCTCTGTATCTCCAGGCATTAACGCTTGAGATGTATGTAACTTAAAACATTTATATCCAGTCTTTTTAAGGACACGCCAAACTTTGACACGGTGAATGTTTTTCATTTGAGTCATTTATTTGAGCCACAATTTGCCAAGTCAACATACTATCATCGATCACCCAATTATCTACAATAAATAATATTTGGTATAATAAAAAAACTGGTTTAACTAAATGTCCCAGTTTGACTGATTTTTCTATTTTAAAAAGACGTTCGTTGGGTTGGCTTCTTTCAGGATATTCATTTAGATATCTCTCAGCTGTTCTGGTTGTATTTAATTGGCACAAATAAAAAATTCTTATCATATCCCGCTTTTCTTCGTTGCTAAATGGCATTTCAACGAAATAATCAGAAAAATACGTCTTTAGTATGTAATATAACACCACTTTGACAATAAACTCCCAAGTCTCTTATCAAATACACATTGACAAAATCAAAGGTAACTCGATTATTTTAAATTTATGCAAAATACTTGCGGTAGAGTTACAAAGTAAGATAATGCTATTATAACAGTTACTATGTTGTAGAGTTTATTTACTGGTGTTTTTAGAATTCCGATTTTTGAATGCTTTTACTTATTTTAATTAGACCCATGGGGATTTTTTTAAATATTCACCTGGATGACTTAATAGATATTTCGATATATTTGATTTTCCGTATTCAATGTTTTAATACACGTGTCATTTTTAAGTTTTAAAATTGAATTGATTAAATATTTAAAAAAAAACAGAGTCGTACTAGAAATTATTTTAAAAATGTATAGCACCCTGTATCTATAATACCTCTAAAAGCCTAAAAGGCTCATGGCTTGATTGATTACAAGCAGGTGTACGGCTGTTAAAACTTTGTGTTTGTCTCATTGTCTCTATTTAATAATTTAAATAAAATAATTTAGTTTCTTAAATATGTTTACAGTTTTTTTATTTTACCTTTTTATTTTCAAAGAGAATAAAATTATTTAATATTTTAATTACGTATTTGCTTATAACTACGTTTAAAATTATTATGTGTGTTTTTTCTTGTATTTACAATTATAAAGAAATATATTAAAATATCGAACATATTTTTTTCGAAATTAAATGCTATTATTTTAAGGATTTAAAAAATATATACGTGGCAATTATTGTACTTACATCAGTATCTCCATGAGGTTGCCGGGTTCTCGTTGTGACTAACAGGGGCTTCACCGGCCGTTTCTTCCATAGTACTTCGAGTTGGCACTTCTCCGGTCCTTTTTCTTCATTTAGGCATTGGCATCCGCCGCTGCTAGTTATACTTCTTTTTTGTTCTAACAGCGTTTTACAAATCCCAGAATGACTGCGCCAAATTTGTAATGATACATCTGGTAAACTTCACTTTTTAAAAAAATATTTTTTATTTATGAATTATTTCATTATCTTCTGTATTAAATATGTTATTTAATTTCAAAAATCAAACCAACATGATAGGATGTGGCCATCGGTGTGCTTGACCGGTAAATGTGTCGATGGAAAATCAATACGACATAATGTACAACATATACTTACCAAGATAAACATGATTCAAACAGATTTAAACATCTAAATGGCTAAATATGAAATACGGGAGGATGCATCGTGCAGCTTTATTATATCAGTCTATAGCTACGTCCACATCGAGCAGGCCGAACGAACACATGAAACACGAAAAACATGGCAAACAGTCGGAGCGAGATGTTTCGCGACGCTCTCGGTGCTCCACGTGCTTGCGACAACATAAAATGCCTGTTTCAACCGTTCGGCTCTGTCGTGGTACATCAAAGAGACGCCATATTCGAAGCCATGTGAGTATACTTTACGGCGGCGGCGCACAATGCGACGACCAATGGACAAAAATCGGATTCACGTATGTTACAGATATGTAAAATTTTATCACAACAGCAAAGATAAACATTTGGTTATATAAAAAAAATATGCCATATTTTCTTTTTTTATCTTCCAAGCAAAAAAACATGTTTAATGTTTACAATATTTCAGTGATAAAAATAACTTATTACGTAGTTATATACAGGGTGTCCCAGAAATGAGTGCAGGTATTTTAAGGGGTGGTAGATCTGGTCAAAATAAACATATTTTCTCTTTGCCATTTTTAAAATAAATTGAAAATAACCGAGTTATTTAACTTTGAAAATTTAAAAAAATAATCGCAACATTTTGAGAACCGCCGGCAGATATCGCCAACTACATCCAATTACCCAGATCAAGCCCGGATTTCAGTTAATTCGACGCACTGTGTTGCCATAGGGACAAGAAAGTATATGTTAAAAGTAAATAATAAAATCACAACACCTGAGGATTTTGCAGAGATGCATTACATTTATAAGATTGTGATATTATTACATAAAATAAATTAAAAGTTAAATGTTTAATAATGTGTTAAAAAAGTTAAATTAAAAAACTTACCCCACATTAAAAAAGATACTTATGACAGATCGATGTAACTGACAGTTCTCTTTTTCGATATACACTTAACTAAAATACACTTCACTGTGCTGCTTTACTTGTACATGCTATTATTATAACTACTAAAATAACAGTCCCCATTTTTAACACATTATTTTCATATAGGCCTCATCACAATTTGAACCACTGATTTACAAAACACCTTGAAAAGCACACATTACTTTGAATGCCTTTCTGAATGAATAAATGTTGAGAATTATTGTCTCTTAGCGCCACTTTCCGAACTACTTTCAATCTAAGAAAATACATGTTTCACTCAACAATTTTAAATACGTATTTTGTTTTTTCGCTATTTTTTCTATGTATTTCGACAATTCCATCGACAGCACAACCGTCGCGTCGGCCAAGAGACCCGCGCATCACTGGTAACTAGAGATCGAGAACTATCGATAGTCTATCGATAATTATCGACAGTTTTGACTATCGAAATTCATCGATAGTTTTTATCATACTATCGATAGTTTCGATAGTTTCACGTGGGTGGTTATAATATTTAAAATTTTTAAACTAAATTAAATTTTCTTTCATCTCTGACTTTATATCTGTTTATACTTCTTATCTTACTTCTTTTTAGTTCGGTTCGGGTACGAACCGAACTAAAAAGAAGTAAGAACCAAGAACCTAACCTAACTCTGTCTTGTAGTCTTGTCTCAGTTCCTTATGTGGTTCCTCAGTTCATTCTCAATTCTCAGTTCTCGTGTCTCTTGAATGATCTGTGTCTTCTCTTGTCTTCTCTATTCTTTTGTGCCTTTTGTGGTGTAAAGTAATTTAAAAAAAAATGAATAAGTTTGTTAAAATATTGCATAAAGAGGTAAAAGAAGGTAAGTACTTCTTGCCAGGGTATTTTTACATTTCAAGAGACATACATTATTATTGTTTTTTAGTTTCCCCTACAACCTCCTCAAGATCTCGTTCTCCCGTTCATAGGATTACATCAAACGAAAATTATGAAATGGATTCGGGTCTAGATAACGATGGGACTCTGAATTATGATAATTCTCAGAATAGTCTGAATCAAAGTAGTTCAGGCAGTTTTCTCAGTTTGGTAGATGATGATTCTGTTACTGTTAAGAAAAGACAATCCAGAAATAAATTTTCGTTTGTTTGGAACTACTTTAAAAAATCCAAAGATAACACCTTTGCTAAATGCAACACATGTGGTCGTGAATATAAAACGAGTGGAAACACCACAAATTTACGAGATCATCTACAAAGATTTCACCCTGCAATAATAACACGCGGTCAAACACCAAATTCAGGGTCATGTACAACAAGTTCGAGTTCTCAAAGTTCGGCTCGGTCCAATGTTCGATTCGAAAAGAGAATTAGACAAGGCTTTAATCACAATGATTTGCACAGATTTTCAGCCATTTTCCATTGTAGATGACAAGGGATTTGTACAGTTTGTGGAACTGTTAGATCCTAGGTATAAATTACCAAGTACATACACTTTGTCTAATAAGTTATTAAAGGAAATGTATTTAGAGGCTTACACAAAATTAAAAACCGAGCTGGAGCATGCTCAATTTGTTGCTATAACGAGTGATTCATGGATATCTTGCAATACCGATTCATATTTGACTGTTACTTGCCAATATATATTCGAATGGAAATTAAAAACTGCAGTGCTGTCTACTAAACCACTAGAAAATGGTATTAATCATACCTCAGAAAACCTTTGTAATGCTTTAAGGGATATTTTGGAAGAATGGTAAATTTTTAATAAAGTAACATGTGTGGTTACAGACAATGCTGCTAATATGGTCAAGGCATGTGACTTACTGCAAAAAAAACATATGCCATGTTACGCACATACCATCAATCTGGTTGTGCAAGATAACCTAAAGCATGTAGATGCTATCATTAAAAAAGTTAAAACTATTGTAACTTTTTTCAAACAAAGCACTGTCGCATGCGAAACTCTAAGAAATGAACAAGCTGTTGGTGACCAGACACCACTTAAACTACTACAAGATTATCCAACTCGGTGGAATAGCACCTTATATATGGTTGCCAGAGTTCTTGAAATTGGTGAGCCACTTGGACGGGCATTACTAAAGCTTCGAAAAGCACCACCTCCATTGACATTAGAAGATATTGCCATATTGAAGGATGTAAAGATTCTGTTAGAATGTTTTGAAGATGCGACAAGAAAAATTTCAGGTAGTACCTTAACTCATATACTTTAATATGATTTTTTTAAATTATTTTATTCTTTTTCAAGGAAGTGGCTACGTTACTAGTTCCCTTATAATTCCATTGTCATTTGGAATATTTAATTTTCTAAATTCCATCAAGCCCTCAACGGAGGAAGGAAAAGTGCTTAGCTCTGGGTTAATTGAGTCAGTCAAAACAAGACTGTTTCCATATGAAACACGAACTATCGCCAAAATCAGTACTTTATTGGACCCCCGTTTTAAAAAGGAAGATTTTCGTAATACAGAAAATGCAGAAAGTGCTGCTTTTTTGTTGGAAAAGGAAATGTCAATTATACCAACAGCATCAGTTTTAACAAATAACTCTGTAGAATCCAATGGTGAACCGTTACCTTCGTCTAATATTGAAAATGAAAAGTCGCTTTTCTCATTTTTACAAGAAAGAATTTCAAAAAAGTCAAAATCGGTGACAAAAGACATTATTATAACAAAAAGACAATATTTAGAACGTCCCAATTTAGATCAAAATGCGGATCCGCTATTATTTTGGAAGGTAGCTAAATTTGTTTTAGGTACTTAGCAGGTATTTAAATAATCCTTTTTTAGATGATGGAATGTGAACTGAGTAGGCTGGAGATTTGTGCCTTGAAATATTTTTGCATTCCAGGAAGTAGTGTGGATAGTGAAAGAATGTTTAGCAGTGCCGGACAAGTGGTATCAGAAAGACGAACTAGATTAAAACCTGCAAATATTAACATGCTAACTTTTTTACACAAAAATATGAATTTATTGTGAAACTGAGAAATGTAAAATAAAAAAAGTTATGCTTATGTGATGTCTATATTTTAAAAAATTGAAACTATCGAAAATTATCGATAACTATCGAAGGGTACTTTCCAACTATCGATAATTATCGATGGTGCCGACTATCGATAGTTCTCGACCTCTACTGGTAACTGCTCCTTTGTCGCGCCGCCGTGTGGAGCTTGCGTCATGCGAGGTTGCCGTAGTTTCAACAATTTCAAATTCAAGACACTCGAAGCAATCAAATTCATATAAAATTTTAAAAATAAAACAGAAAAACATGAAAGGAAACAAACAAAACACAAATGAATTGGTTATTGATAAGGTCACAAAAAAGAAATTTCTAAAGTGTTTATCGTAATTGAGAATTCAATACATCGAAAACAGCCCGACGAATAATCAATTCATTTTTGTTTTGTTTGTTTCCTTTCATGTTTCTCTGTTTTGTTTTTAAAATTTAATATGAATTTGATTGCTTCGAATGTCTTGAATTTGAAATTGTTGTAACTACGGCAACGTTGCTTAACATCGTCGTCTGACGCAAGCCCGCCACCACGGCGCGGCGACCGGCGACTCAAAGGACCAGTTCACACGCGGCGCTCTTGGCTGACGGTTAGGCTGCCAATGGAATTGTCAAAATACATCGAAAAAATAGCGAAAAAACAAAATACCTATTTAAAATTATTGAGTGAAACATGTATTTTCTTAGATTGAAAGTAGTTCGTAAAGTGGCGAGAAGAGACTCTCAACATTTATTCATTCAGAAAGGTATTCAAAGTAATGTGCGCTTTTCAAGGTGTTTTGTAAAACAGTGGTTCAAATAAAACAGAGAAACATGAAAGAAAACAAACAAAACAAAAATGAATCGATTATTCGTTGGGCTGTTTTCTAAATTTCTTGAATTGACGATAAACTAAATTACGATAAACATTTTAGGAATATCTTTTTTGTGACCTGATTGTGAATAATATGAATCATTTTATTAAATTTATTCCAAAATAAAGTTATTTTGCAGCATAACAAAGATTTTCGTAAACGTTATAAACATGTTAATTTTCGGTGGTTTTTGTTAAGTTTTCATTGAAAGGGTAAGTACTAAAAATAATTAATGTGTTTTTTTTCTATAATTATTAATAATGAGCACTGATAAAAGATTAAATTTAACATTCCTAATTTTTTGAGTAGAAATTTGTCTATGAATTTATAAATGTAGAACTATGTTCCGCCGAACTATGTAGAATGTCGATAACATAGGAGGTTGCAACACTGCAAGGTTTAGATACACCGTAGGGAAATCTCAGGTGAATAAACAAGTGGCACTAAAAAGTTTTTTCAAATTTCCCTGAAAATGTCAAGAAAAATTTTAAATTTTCAACATTTTTTTTTCGCAAAAAAAACCTCATAGGCGTGTTTCTGGGATTGAACTATACTACCAGTTAAAATATTTGCACTTATTTCTGGGACACCCTGTATATATAGTACATAGTCGGTATAGTGATTATTTTGTTACTGAATATTACAATGACTAATTTTTTTGATGGTAAGTACTATTTATATATACTATAAAAAATATTTAAAATAATTAGTTAGGCCCAAAATGATTATTCAAAAATGTCTCTAAAAATTGTACCAATATACTAGTAGTTTAATTTTAATAAGTGTTTTCTCAAAAAGACCCAAAATGACCCTTCCAAATTTTTCAAATTATGTTTTTATAAAGTCTGTACTTGATGACACTAAGCAACTTTTTTTGCGCCGCTTTGCGCAAGTATATGATTTTTTAAATTTTAGGCACCTTCCCTACAATCAAAAATATCGATCTCCTTGATATATGGATTTCCAGCGAAAAATCTCAAGTGGAAGAGAAGATCTTTCAGAGTCTTTTGACTTATTTTAAAACAGATGGTCTTGAAAGTGAAGTTGTTAAAAGGCTTCATGATATTGCACACTTTTTTTGCTTTAAAATAGACCAAAAGTGGCAAAAACCTCAAAGAAAGTGTGATCCGTTCCTGACAGACCGCAAATTATGGCTGCAAAATGAAATTGCCCTCCTAGATTCTTTAAAAACTTATACATCTTTGGAGACTTTAGACGAATACGAGACAGATCCAGGTTGTAGTCGTGGTCGCCCTTCGAAGCCGTTTGAAGAATGCAGTTTAAAAACTAAACGAAGACGAGTAGAAAATTTGGTAGGTTCTCATAGTTTTCAGGAACTGTCTTTTGCAGCTCAAGAGTCTGCGCGTATTATAAAGTTACAAGAACACCATAAGCCTGAACAGGAACAATCATTATCACCAGAACAAACACTGGCTTTGTATTTAGACTTAGATTTATCACAAAGAAAATATTGTATTTTAAGGTCAGTAGTTAACGCATTGCATACAACCTGTTTTCCTAGTTTTTATGCAGTAAAAAACAGAAGTGTCTAGCCCTAGCAGTCAACTTTTAAGCTTGACCAGTCAGGTTGGTTAGCGTGGTTATTTGAAGGGTGTTAATTCATTTGTGTTTGTCAAAAACTCTAACGTGATTGGTCGGGCATAATAGTTGCCTGCTAGGGCTAGACACAAGTGTAAAAAACTGTCGAAATGACTGATAAATTTAAATATGAAGAAAAAAATATTAGTATAAATTACAATATGATTTTAACAATGCTGGATGGAAGCACAGTTAATACCCTTTCAGAAACAAATAGTACTCAACATTGTTTTATCTGCGGTGCAAGCCCTAAGGAGGTGAATACAGAACGGGTTGCTCAAAAACCGATCAGGTATGAAAATTTAAGATTTGGACTTTCATCTCTTCATTTGTGGATTCGGTGCTTTGAATGTCTATTACATATTGCTTATCGACTACCATTCCAAACCTGGCAAGTAAGAACACCGGAAAATAAAGTAAAATTGGGAGAGCGTAAATATCAAGAATTGAGAGATTTGAGGATAAGTTTAAAAAGCCATGTAGACAACCTACTGTCTTGTGCAAATCTAACTGTTATTCAAATCAATTACCTTCTCCCGGGCCATACATACATGCTTGTAGACAGCATGCACTCTGTAATTGAAAAAGGTGTCCAAGCATATTATTTGGGCCTCTACCCAATAGGTCACAGTTTTTGAAATTGCTACCTTTAGCAAGGCTGACAGTAATAAGATAGTAGTTAAATACTCTACGGCCTCTGTTGGCAATTAAGAAACAATAGCTATAGTCGGAAAATAAAAAAAAATCACCGAATCTCTACAAGGAACCTCTTCCAATTTCGAAACCGAAGTTCCAGGATCTGACAAAACTTTGCAATGTGAATGTTATACCTGCTTAACACCATAATGGATATCTAAATTTTTTACATACAAGTAAGATGCCTTACCAGAGACTGATGAAGAAGACCATGAGTCATTATGAATAGACTAGATAAAAATGTATGCCTAATTCTATTTGTGTCTTTTTAGGGTGTATATGTTAGTGATTCTAGTTTAGGCTACAGGATTACTAATACTGAGTACAAAATAATGATAATTAATATTTTTGTATAAGCTACACTTTTTTTGCTATTTTATTGTAATGTAGTTGCTTTGTAAAATAGGATATTTTTTGTTTTCTGTTGTTTTTGTTTGAGCATTTTTTAAATAAAGAAGTGTAATACTAATTTTCTAGCTAGTATTATTTTGCTTAAAATTCAGAGTATCATTTTCTATCCAATAAAGTAGAAATATACTGAATTTGCCATTTAAAAATCAAAAGTTATAGTAATTTCCGATGAATCAGGAAGTCCGGCGACGAAGACTATCTCAACTAAATAATTTACCCGGTTCCCAACTACGTGCAGAGGCGGAAATATTTCATGATTCTGATACTTTTTAAATATTTTCCCCTAGATCTACATCACGTACGCCCGAGGCTACGCCAGTTAGGATCCCTAAATCAGCAAATTAATATTACGAATATAGCTCAGAAGACGATTTGCCGTTGGCTGAAATAAGATCGCGAATGAAAAAACAAGAGCGCCAAGAGTTGACCCATAAAAAGACATTATAAATGGGAAAATCGAGACCTTCAGCTACCCAACATAGAAATACCTCTTGTTCAAAACGTTTCAAATAATAATTTAACAGTAGAGCTCTTTAAGTTTTTTTGGGGTGAAGAAATAATAAACATGATTTTAGAATTTTCCAGTCGGTACGCAAATCAACACCAAAGAGGAAATATTTATTTTTTGCTATTTTATTGGTCAGTGGATATGTTCATGTTCCCCGTCGCAGGATGTTTTGGAAGAATATAGCAGATGCCCATAATAATTTAGTTTCAAATGCCCTTTTCTGAGATCGATTTGAATATATTTTTGCTAATTTACATTGCTGTGATAACGCTTCTTTAGATAAATCAGATAGATTTACAAAACTGAGGCTGTTGATAAGAAAAATGAATTAATCTTTCCAAAAATTTGCTGGTACCATATGGTACCATATTTTGGCGTCACGGAGCCAAGCAATTTTTTCCAGGCAAAACCATTCTTTATAACTACAAGTTTTGGACCGGTGCAATTGATTCAGGATACGTCGTATGGACTGAACCATATCAAGGCGCCAAGAACGAAATAGAAAATCAATACAGAAAGTTTGGGCTAGGCCATCAGTAATTCTGCAATATGCGGAGGTCCTTTCCCTAAATATTATCGTAACATTAGTTACAATTTCATAAAACAAGACGCAAGTAAATATTTTCATCGCATCTAGAATTAAAATAGGTTAGCGAAGAAGGAAAAGCATCGTATGTCTCCATTATACGATAAAACTACAGACAAAAATTACACGTATCATTGTAATTTTGAAGTAGAAGTCAGGGATGCAACTGTAGTAATGGAGACAGACTCAATTCAAGGAGACAAGGTTCCAAATAGCAGTGGAAGTGAAAGTGATGAATGCAAAAATTCGGACAGTCCATTATTCGGAGATGACGATCTTTTGAACGAATACAGTAATCAAGTAAATAAATAAGAT